CAAAGAGATTTCGATCTCCAGGAATAAAAGTGCTCTACAAGTGGTATGTGCATGTTTCTTTGTTTAATCTGAGAGTGCCTCTGGCAAGATTTGATTCATTAGACATATGAAAGCTGTTAGCTGCTGAGGTGTTCATTGCTTGGGGAGGAAAGCTAGTAAAGAGTGAACATGTTCAGTTTTCTCTTAACAAATTAGCTAAGGCAGGAAAGAATAAGATATGAATGTTGCTAATTAATTTATTTCCTTACTTGATTCATACGTTGCCCTTCCCAAGGGAAGTTCAGAGCAGCTTGCAATAGGAGAACAGATAACTTATAAAAGTTTAATAAAATTAGGCACCCACAATGAAGAGCAAGGAGGCTTTTTTTTTTGTCTGTTGTTGCTTGTCATTATTTGCATTGTATAAGCATATCTAAGTGGATACGTTGCAGAAAACTGGACAATACTTTTATTGAAAAATGCATTTGGCTGCAGTTTAAATTTGGCCGCCTATGTTTCCAAATGATTAATGATAACAAAATAGGTATTATGTAGTATTGAGGTTATGGCAGAATGGAGTTCCAGCCGAGATGCTGAACGTGCATGGTTACCCGCTTCGAGGCTCTCCTGGAAGCCTAGGGCTGGGCTTGGGGAAGGGTCCGCCATGACAGCAAGGATTTGGGGACATGTGCCTGACAGTCAGTCCAGTATGGCCTGGTTCTGTAGAAGGAAGGATCAGGCTCTGAGGGGCCCAATCCTTCCTTCTTTGGAGCACTTGTGTCCCTGCTGTCTGGTGCAAGCCTCCCAGGCTGCCCAGTACATCTTGCTAGCTGCCACTGGTGCTGACCTGTGGCAAGACATACTTGGCAGCCTGGGAGGCTTGTGCTGAGCAGTGGGACCCAATCCTTCCTTCCTTCCATGGAGCACTTGCATCCCTGCTACCTGGTGCATCTTGCCAGAGTTTAGCACCAGTGGCAGCTGGCAAGATGCACCAGGGACACGAGTGCTCCATGAGAGGAAGAATAAGTTCCCACTGCAAAGCTCCCTTTCCCTTCCCCCCAGTCCTGCCCCACCTGCCTGTGTCTACACTGACTTGGGTCTGTGACAGCCTAGAGCAGCCAAGCACCCAGCGAGTGCTAATACATCTCCCTGCAAGGGGGGCGCTAGTTGAGGGGGGGCTGCAAAGGTCTCTGGGGTGCCACCAGACAGTGACCTAAATTGAGACAGGAGGGAATCCAGTACTGAAGTTCAATAGACAAGTTTAACCTAAAATCGGTTAAGTCTGTAAAACATCCATCCAGGTCTCTCTCAGACCAGGATCCACCATTTTTAAACCAATCTATATGCTCTAAACTTCTCTTCTGTTATGGGTATAGACCAGTTTCTGACCACCTAAATGGGAAAAAGTGTAATGTCTGCAGCTGGCCTCAGGTACTGCAGTGATGAATGGTTTAAGTATGCATGCTCAGTCAAAATATGTTCTGTAGATTAGAGGAGAGTTTTTTAACCAGTGTTTTGAAGTTGGGGTTGTTTCTGAACTGGCTTGTACAGTCTTGTGGAGAAGAGCAGTCTAATATTTGAACAGAATTAAATTAACTTTTCCAGATGTTTGTAACTCTAAGAAGAAACAAGAACCGATATATATTTGTCAGCCTTCTCTTATAGCTGTTCAATCATTTTAGGATCAGTGAAGAGGTGTAACATAGGGCAGAATTTGGCCTGGGGTACTTTGAGTGAAAACACTACATACAGTTTCTGATCTTCAGAAATTAATATTACTAAAATCATTTTTCAACTTGAAGCTTTGTTTTCCAAAGGCTGTTTGCTTATGTCTAAGCAAAAAGACAATTGTTCTTCCATGGATCATTTTTCTAGCTTGACAAGAAACTCACATAAGAAAAAAGAACGTTTGGCTTTTAACTTCCAGCATTTGCAGAATAATAAGGCAATCAGTAAGAAGTCATTGTTTATACTTCATGGCTAGCAATGAACTAGAGCCATGTATGAAGGTAAGTGTTGTCTAAACCAGCAGTTCCCAACCCCGGATTGCGACCCAAATGAGGGTGGTGGGGGCAGTGCCAGTGGGGCCACACAGAAAAGATGAGCTGCACCGTGTGCTGGGAGCTCCCCCGACCCCGGGCCATCGCCAGCGCCACTGCCGCACTCCACTCCCAGCAGCAGGGCATGGAAAAATGGGGTTGGAAGCCACTGATCTAAACGAAAGTTTTCCCAGTCATACATCTGTTGCAGACTATGGACCTTGAACACAGTCATATTTGGAACAGATAGAGCCTAGTTCTAATGCCCAGCCTTTGCATTCTGGCAAAATTAAAGGTTCTCTCTTCTGTACACATTTTATGGCAATACGCACTCTCTATCTGAAGAAAATCCCATGTGTCTTGGATTGTATTTAGAACACCAGATTAGACATTCAAAGAGCAGGGAATCATGTTATTTAAACAAAGTATAGCCCTTCAAGTCATGTCACAATAGAATCATGTTTTTGGGATGCTTAGAACATTGGCCACTAGTAGAAAAATGAGAAATGATATCAGATTAAAATAAAGATGTCTCCATTTCAAACCTATTATTATTTGGAATGTCTACGTACAGTATACACTAGAATTCTGTCAGATGACAGTCCTGTTTTCTAGGAACTGAAGTCCTGGTTTTAGGAAACAAGAGAAGAGGAAACCCAGGTTAACAGAATACAGCAGTGGGTAAGGAATACCAGCAGTCAGGAAAGTCAGCAAGAAAGATACCTTATTTTTCATGTGAATGGCATTGTATTAGGTCAAGTTATTTAGTCATAACATATCAGAATACAGATCTCATTCTGCTCCTTTGTATTACTATAAAACCATCATTGCTGCATTTTCACAGCTGATCTATTGCAGACATTTTATTCCTTTGTAATATATGCCATAACAGTCTACTAAGAATATCTTTATTTTGAAATTCCAGCAAATGGGGGAGCTTTCATGGGACTTGGCCTTTGATAAAGAAGGAACTGTTCTTGTTCCCTGGGGCAGAATATGTTGCTTCCTGATAAGCTTAATGGATGTTTGTAGGTTGCTAGGTCTGTGGTTTAGTTTTTGTTTGTGGTGCTTTGCAAAGAGTGTGGGGGAGGCTGCAGGTTTTGAATCGGACACAAGCTTTTCAGCTAAGCATGACAGAGGCCTCTTGCTTTGGTCATTGCCTAACACACCTACCTACTGAACCTAAATAAGGACTCAAGGATGACCAAGGCAAAAGGTTAAAAAAGCCCAGCAGCCAGCAAGCAGGGGAGTCCCATGACAAAAAGTACAGTAAACAGAGGAGTTTTTGCATGGGAGCTACAAGCATGGGCTTTTCTTAACAAGTAGGGGCAAGGAAAAGAAAGCAGGTATAATCTGCACGTTACTTCAAGAGGTACCCCCTCTCCAACTGAAGGGATCAGAGCAGGTGCACAAGCGCTGTGGGAAGTGTAGGGACCCTCCTTTCCCTATAGAGCAGAGCCAGCTCACCAATGGGGACTTAACCATATACCTTTTAAATGAGGCAAACAGTAGTGGGAACATAAAGTGTAGAAACCAGGGGGTATAGGGGACATTACAACGCCTCAAGGGGGCAGGATTCAATAAAGGTTAGGCACTTACATATTCATTCATTTGAGAAAAGACAGGTTTAACAAAATATAAAACACAAACAGAACAAACAATACTGGTTGGCGAAATATAAAATGCACAAAATACAAAATGTCAAATAACAAGAAATATAGGGCCTAGGTACCTGGACGGGGAAAAGAGGGAAAACACAATGACCCCCTTCTACTGCAACAAGAATTTCTCCCTGTCCCTTCACTCACCCCAATTCAACCCAGCTGGGACTTGAACTTGGATCTCCCACATGGTACTGCTCTAAGCTGCTAGGGGTTTTGACCTTCTAGGGATCCCGGCCTCATGTTGAGCTTCCTGGCCTCTGATTGGAGGAGCTGGAAGCAGAGCTGTGAACCTCTCAGGTCACTGCTCAGCTTCTTACTGGAGCTGGGGACCTCTCCTGTTGGCTGCAGCCTCTCATAGGGGGATCCTAGAGCCCAGCGGGGAGCCTCTCCTGCTGGCCGCACTGCTGAGGGTCCAACTGCTGCCTGCAGGTCCCACTCCTTCAGGCTTTTCTGGGGCAACTGCTCCTGCCCTGCTGGCCCAGCTTTTTGAAACTCCTTCCTCTTGGCCCGTTGCTCATCTCCCGATTCAGCTGCGCTGCCCCTTTTATTCCCCTCCAGGTGATCCAAGGGATCAATCAGGGGACATGGAGGGTGAGTCTTTGGGGCCTGATTATTGAGGAAAGGGAATCCCAAGCCCTCTAATGATCTTTTATCCTTTCAAAACCCCTGGGCCAAATCACCACCAGCTAACCCATCACACAACTATAGATATGGAGGCAGCAGTGGGAGGTGACTTGAACAGTGGAGAAACAGTGAACTGGATGCAGCAGCTGCAGGATATATATCATCCTTGAGAGGGATACCTGCTGAGAGCTTTTTATATCCAACACAACTTTTGAGGGAGCTAATCAAAAGGAAGATGTGAAGAAAATAGTTTGGGTGGGGGTGTGAGACAGAACTCACCTGGAAATAGCTATGGAACCAGTGTTCCTAGGAGAGCTGCTGGCCATTCAGTCTATGGCAAGCTTTCCTTTGAGAAATTAACTCCTGTGATGCTATGGGAAAATGTGATTTTTGGATGAAAAAAGTTGACTTCATTCATCCTGGGTCTAATGCCATTGACTACAACTTGGCTCTCTACATCCATCAAAATGATCTAGGCAGGCAAAGTTCTTTGAGTAGACATGATATTTTTTATTAGACCAACTGTGTAGTTGGAAAAAAAGTTCTTAGCAAGCTTTCAGGTGCAATTACCCTTTTTAGGTACACAAAGTCTCTGCTGTTCTGATACCAAGGAATGAGAGAAGCTAAAAGTGACAGAATGTCAGTGAGAATGTAAATAGGTAGAAATTAGGAAAACAAAAGGTAGAGCAGGGAAGGGACGGGGAGAAAAGGCAGGCAGCCGGGCAGGGAGTAATTCAAGGTAGAAAAGAGGTTATCTTTGAAAAAGGAAGTAGCTGGAAATTAAGAAGACAAAGCACAGAAAAGTAGGGGAGGGGAGTGGAGAAAGATGGAGGTGCAGGGAAGAGAAGTGTTAGAGGTCAGGTCTGACAGGTCCCTGGTGAATCAGATGTCAGGCAAGTTGTAATGTGTCATAAATCCAATGCCTATATTGAGTCCATAATTTTTTAGCACTGTTTCAAGAAAATTGAGAAACATAGTACTGTTTTACAGACACGTATCACTTCCATAATTGTATCAGCATGATATTAGATGCCATGGCTGTGTGCAATGCGGTTAGTCACTAACACACCTTTACAACCTCTCCCCCTTTTTTTCCTTTCCAGGATATAAACTTCTGACCTGATCCACTGATATTAAAAATGGCCAACTCACACGGTGTCACAATTCAGCCCCAATTCACTGTTGTTACTAGTACATCAAGAAGTAACTGGCAGACTGGGCTACTGGACTGCTGCAGTGATTGTAGTGTGTGTAAGTGGATATACTAGTATGCCTGCCCTGCTTTGGCTTGCAGTGTCTTGATTCTTGTATTTGTTTCACCTCCATTAATTTATTACTTAGGACCCTGCTACCTGTTCAAACTAAAGCTGGATAGAAACAAGCTGTAGAGTTGTTATACATTTTCAAGCACTAACCTTATAGCTGGTTGGCTCAGGTACATAAAGAGCCAACCGGTTATAAAGGTAGTGCTTGAAAATGTGTAACAACTCTACATCTGGGTAGTCATTTTTATAGTGTAATAATCACTTTTCACATGCGGCTGGTCTAGATGTACTATACAGTTAACCAGTTAGTTATGTGATAATTGCTTTGCACTTGCAGCCAGTCTTATTTTGCAGGTCTGGCCAGTCTAAATTTATTGTGCAATTAATTAGTTAACTATGATATGCGCGCACACACACACACACACACACACACACACACACATATATAACTTGTAGCAGGTGCCTTATTTATTTAAAGGAGTAATTTATAATGTTATTTCCTATATCTGCTGTGACATTGCTACTCAATGATGATTCACACATATGCACGCACATGCACTCAGTGCAAAACCTCTCTTGTACTCCCACTGCTTTCAGGCATACCCCAACCCCATCCATAAAGCTATACTATTACTACTGTGTAGTTAGGCAAGGTCAATGCTATGCCTCCTGCCCATGGTTCACTTGATCTACTTATATCTTTGTAAAAAAAATTGAGCCTTGTCTTTTAATAGGATTTGACATGAAACAAATTGCGTGCTTAGTTCGTGCAAACAACACACACCCTTCTGGGTAGTGGCAATATCCCCTTACAAAGTAAGAATATAAGAATCACATCTAAGGTTACAGCCAACATCACTTTCAGGTCGTGTGGAGCCCTCTCCCTCCCTTGTGCTAGTTCTAGTTGGCACATCCCAGCTGTTTTCCTTCCATTTTCTAGATACTTTCACATTGCTTCTGCAACGAGAGCTCAGCATCAGCAGGAATTCAGGGGAAATATCCAGTGACCCTCATTTGTTGTTTTGTCTCGTTTGCCCAGGTCTGTGTGGAGCATTCTGTTTTCTTTGTCTCCAATGTCAAGTTGCAAGTGACATGGACGAATGCTGCCTCTGCGGCTCAAGTGTGGCTATGAGGACACTCTACCGGACAAAATACAGTATCCCAGTTAGTTACTATTTAATCATTTGTTGAACCCATGTTCAAAGTAGCAAATCACCTATTTAACACAATGGTTTACTACATTTTTTTTGTAGGCCAGATATAATTGAGTCATGTCTCTCTGGCTGCTAAGTGGCTGCCCTTATAGGTTAAATACAAACAGTCAAAAAGCCTGAATCGATTTAATCTTCACAGGTTAATCTAAGCCAGGGATGGGCAATTATTTTGGGTGGAGGGCTGCTTACTGAGTTTTGGGAAGCCATTGAGGGCCGCATGACAGGCAGCCGGGAACAGCTAAATATTAATTTTGTAAATTTTTAGGGACCTGCGGGCCAGATCGAATGGCCTGGCAGGCTGCATCCAGCCCACAGGTTGCATTTTGCCCACCCCAGTCTAAGCTGTGTAGTTTGAAACGATAAGCAAGTGAACATTCACTTTTGATTCTAGAAATGCTGCCATGTGCCTGCAGTGTCATGCCTGAAGCCAGGGGGCACTAGAGCATACTTCCCTGCTCAGCTGGAGCAGATAGCTTGGGTCAAGGCTAGCCTACCGCCTCTGTGAGTGTGGGGGTTTGCGGGGAAGGTAGGGGGCTGTGGGATGCTGGGGGACTGTGAGTTAACTTGAATCTGGAGGGGTTCTGGGAGAGCAGCTCAGTAAACTGATTTAACCAAAATCAGTTAAGTCTGATACTACATCCGTCCACATTTGTCTTAAATTTGTTTCAGCCATTTTGAAAGTGATTTATGTGCACTGAACTTTTGTTGTGTTACAGATTTGAACTATTTCTGATCATGTATACTGGTTTATGTGTAATTTCTGTCCTTAGCCATAATGTGAGAGGCAATGTGGTTTGGTAATTAGCACAGAACAGCAGCCTACAACCTTTATAAATAGGGATGTACTCAAATCGCAGAGCCTAGAGCCAAATTTCATGGGTTCACCATGGCCCCAGGCACCAATTTCACAGGCAGATCATAGCCACCCCCACCTTCCAACACCTCTGATTGGCTTGGGTGGCTGGCAGACACATGGGGCTGCCACTGCCTCCTGTCCTGGGCTGGCCCCACTACCTGCCTAGCCCTGGCCTGCACAGAGGGAAAAATAATCCCCTCTTCAGCCCTGTATGGGTGAGGGGACAGGCTGCTGCTCCCTCACTGCCTACTAGCCAGGTTACACTGTCCTCCTGACCCAGTCCTGTTCCCCTTGCCCCTCCACAGCCCTGCATGTATATTAACAACTCTCTGAAGAACCCGCCAGAGAGGTTCACCTTTTGAATTTGTGGCCTACTGAGGAGGAGAGTTAGAATTAGGGGGGTACCAATAAAGATTTTTTTGGGCCGATACCGATGGTTGTATTAACTAGCATTTTGGCTGATACCAATACAATTGCCGATATGCAGCCTGGCAGCTTGGAGACCAGTGTCCAGCTGCTAAGTCTGTTGGGGGGATGGGGCGGGGGGAAGGAAAGGGCATAGGCAGATGGAGGTTAGTATGGCAGGGGCAGGTGCTGCCAAGCCGGGGGGTGGGGAGCAGAGCATGGGATGGAGCCATGGCTTGTCCAGGGAGCATGGGGGGCAGCTCCTGCCACTGTGTGCACCCCTGAGAGGGATGGGGGACATGTGCCCCCCAGATCTGTGCATGGGGTGAGGGCACCTGCTGCGTGCTCGGGGCTGGAGGCTGCACCGGGTTCTTCCTGGCAGGGGCTGGGCCTGGGCTGTGCTTGGGGCAGATGGCAGTGGTGCTGGAAGGGGAGCTACAGCCACCCCAGAATTTGCCATAGTCTCCCTCCCAGCACCATCAGCTGCCCCAAGCGCAGCCCAGGCTCAGCTCCCGCCAGGAAGAGCCTGGCGCAGCCTTCAGCCCTGAGCACGTAGTGGGCAGCCTGCCCTCACCCTGTGCACAGATCCCGGGTCGCACATGCCCCTGCCCATACATCCCCTAGGGTGCATGCAATGGTGGGAGCTGTCCCCCAACACCCTCCAGATCAGCTGTGGCTCTGCCCTGCACTCAGCTCCGCTCTGGCTGGGCAGTGCCTGTCCCTGCCCCACTCCCTCCCTCACTGTGGGGCCTTCGATCTGCCCCCCCCCATTCCCCTCCCTGCCCCCCAGACTTAGTGGCTGGATGCTGCTCTCCAAGTTGCTGGGCTGCATTCCTGGCCGTGTGCGTGCTACAGCTGCACCCATGCACACAGCATTTATTGGTGACATCACTGGCCACATCAGCCAAAAAAAGACTATTGCCAATAATGTCAATTTTCCTTGTGTCAATGCCGATAACGATATGGACCGATGTACTGGTGCACCTCTAGTTAGCATGCTTTTAGGTAAAGGTGATCAACACCATTGACTGACAGTGAGGAAGTAACAAGTTTGTAATAAGATTAAGTGTCAGCATGATTGGCTGCCAAAGATGATGGATAGGCTAGGAATTGCCAGGGTTCACTGGATTAAAAGAACTTGATTGAAGTGTCCCTAGGCATGTGCCTGGGAGGCCTGTGTGAGCATATGTGGCCATTCCAGACCTGAGCAAGTATTGAGCATTCCCAGACTTAATGTGTATGCTTGGGTGAGAGCAAGAGTGATCTATCTTTGCTTTGTAGCATGCCCACAGATCCACACGTGCTTGCTCATGGTTGCTCCTCTAAGGTGAGGTGAAAGTACCTGAGATTGCCCCTCCATGGTAAGGAGACCACCTTGGATTGAGATCTCTCCTGCATCATGAGGAGAGGAGAGGAGAGAAGTCTTCGTGTTGCTTAATAATGAAGGGCAGGGCCTCTGCTCACCCATCTAAGCTCATTCATGGTGCTGCATCTGTATGCTCTATCCTGCTGGACCCTTAGCCTCCATAGTGCTGCTGCTTTGTGGCAAAGTGTTGCCTTCATGGATCTGTATTCATCTGTAGATATTGTTCCTTTTGTTCATCCCTTAATGCATTTAGAGTCTGTTTCTTGTTGTTGTATTTTAATAAATCTTTGCTGCCTCATCTCCTAATCTGTGATCTAATATACTGAGAAACCAAGGTGGGCACCCTATCCAGCACTGGTGTGGAATTCCAGTGTTGGTCACCTTGGATAACCTTATAACCCATTGGTACCCATTTCCTCCTGGTTCCTTATTTGTCTCCCATAAGAATTTGTACTCTAACCAGTTGGGACACTTCAGAAATCTCTGGTTCAACAAAAGGATCTGACTCTGGGAGGCAAATCTCAGGTACCACTACCCTACTTTGTGACCTTGTACTGAGGGAAAAAACATGAAGTATATGTAAAATAAAGATTATACATCTCTGTAAATGGTTTTTATAGCTATTTCATGGAATATACATGCACAATGTATTTGTTACTAATGTATGCCACTTTACAGTACAGCTGCGTTGCTCACTTAAGAAATAACCAATCTTCTCTGCAGAGGCATTGGTTATATTTTTCTTTCTCTCTAAATTAAATGGGTATCTGACAATTTCTAATGAAGCTCTTGAGGTACTTAAAACATATCACAACCAAAGCTATGCAACCTTTATTTAACCCAAACTAACTTTTTCACTCTGTCCTCATCACTTATCCAATTCCCCCCTTGATTTATCAAACCCTGCTTTCAGATTTTTTTTTCTCCCACAGGTTTTCAATCAAGATTGTAAGCCATATGCTTTTTCTTTCCAAGTGATATCCTTGTATTTCTAGTCAAACCCTGGTATGCCAGACCATCAAATAACAGAATTGCCTAAGAAATGTACAAAATCACTATGAACATTTATGTATGTATTAGAGGTCAGAAGCTGGTCCTGTGAAGCCTAGAGCCTGTGCTGATGATGTTTATTGTTGTTTTTTAACAGGGATCCATCCTTTCTGATTTCTTCTCTGCCCTCTGTTGTCCTATGTGTTCTGTTTGTCAGTTAAAGAGAGACATTACCAGAAGGAAGGAACAGGGAATCTTCTAACAAGGTTCGTTAAAGTTTTTTTTTAAAGTTCCTCAGGAGCAGTGTTTCAGTTAAAATCAGTTTTAGCACAAATGGGGTGTAATGGAAAAGTCTGATGTAGAATCAGTAATACGCAGATGATAGTAGCATAAAGATATCCTCACCTATCCATCCTTTGGGTGATACTGAAGTCTTAGAAAATGTACCATCAGCTTATTTTAATGTGAGCTCTGTGCTACAGGGCCCACTGTAATATGAGATGAGACTTACTGTAGTGATTCAAACCAATCTAAAATAAAGCATGGTCATCATTACTATTGGCAGTCAGGAAACACAAGACCAAACAACGACAGCTAGGATAATTACCACTGGCAAAGAGCCTTGTTGGCTAACCAAAGGTATTCCAGACTATGTAATACCTACAATGGCAAAGGCATGAACGTTTGACCTGGTTTATTCCACAAAGGAATGAACCAGATCGAGAGCCAACAGAGACTGGGGAAGAAATCAATGGCTGTGTTTTACAGAGGCCCCATGTGACTTGGTTCCTGAAGGTGGATTATGGAATGCAACAACTGCCACAGCTGTCCTGTATTCTAAGCAGCAAACACCTAGATCTGCTGTAGCAGTATAGCATGGGAAACAGCCATTCTCTCACCCCAGTGTTTTACTGTACCCTCTGAAGCATGTGCTGTTTTATTTATACTCCTGCATTTATTTATCTATCTATCTTTAAAAGAGGGTCTGAACCAATGTAGGACTTAAATAGAATTTAGGTACATAAGTCCAAATCTGTGTGCCTGAAAACCATTACTCAGCTGCTGCCTTACTTATGCAGACACCTTCTTGAGAACTTTAAAGTCAAACAAGACTCATAGTCTCCACATATTCAGAATTAAACTGGTCTTGACTGAGCAAGGTAGTTCAGTGCCTAGCTGATTCAAAAGCTTGCTTGGGATCCAAAAGCTAGGTATTCATGTGGCTAAAGCCCTTAAGGGGTTTCATCTAATATACCTAACACCCTCAACAGAACCAACCTTCGTACAAAATAGAACTGCAGTCGCCCTAAGAGTAGTTACAAGAGCAGCCTGAGAAGTGGGAGACCCAGATTCTCTTCTTTGCGACTCAACCTCATGTTTTACTTCCTTGGACAGTGGCTAATCAGCAGTCTACACAAGCTAAAATGCACAGGAAAGTTCCCCCCCACATTGTGTGGGAAAACTGTTCGGAGTTCCTGAGCCAAATATCACGAATACAAGACCCAGTGGTTAGGGCCAATCTGGGTGGTGTAAATCAGACCCTAATATAACCTTTACCAGAAGATTTTAGTGTAAACCAACAAAAAAGGCTTCACTCCAATTTGCTTCATTTTTCCATTAAGACTGAATGCATCAGATCCTGTCCTCACACCTTTATAACTTTAAGACACATTTCTCAAATCAGTATTGGTCTACCTTGTGATGAGATCTGTTAAACATTCAAGGAATGCAAGGCTTTTAAAACTTGTACTTTTAAGTACAATTCATGGTAGTGTATATTGTTAATCATCTTAAGTCTTCAGTGTTAGCTATCTTTTTGTCCCGCCTTGTCACTCCAGGGTTTTCTTCTGCTTGTTTCTGCATATTCAGTGTCTATATGCAAGAATACAGAGATCTACAGGAGACGCAAGCAAGCAAGGCAGTACTTTTGGCTTATTTGCTATTAATTACCAGGGAAAAAATAAAAGGTTTTTTGCCTCACTTGTACATGTGTTCTTTTTATAACCACTTCTGCAGTCATAACCAGTTTTACTGTCCTAATGTGCTTGGGAAAAAAGTATTCCCTTTTTTCCATTAGCTTGTTTACAAGGTTCATTAGCCTATACTACATCTCTCATCTGTTCAGTGATTAGTTGCCATCCTAAACAAGAGACTAACAATTATTTTCCTGTCCCCAGAACTGTAAGACAAAGTATTTCTTTTTGCAAAGCTAACACAGAAAACTAGCATTATATTGCAACACTTGTATACCGAAATGCAAAAACCAGAAAGGAATGAAGTATTGTAAGTGAATATTTATAGAACAAGACAACTCTAGAGCTGCTGAGTCTAACTGCCTTATTCTGCCTTTAATTGGAGTAAACGTAACTAGAAAAGCATGGTGCTTAAGGTTTCACAAGACAACAATCCATAGAAAGTTACAAGACCACATCTCACTATTACAAAACCAAAACCTGTTTCTGTTGCAGGGGTTACTCCTTCCAGTCTTTCTAAGCCACAGCTGCCCCGCAGGAAAACACTGTATATTCCTAATCATAGCTCAAAGTCAAGGTTCTAGCAGAAGTGTAGAAGCAAGGCATGGATTATGTGGTTGTTTTGTAATCCGTGTAAATTCCCACTGCACAGCAAAGGCAGTGCAATCAGAAAATCCCAAGCATGTGTTTACTGAGCCATCTGAGCTTCCATAGCCTGTGCGGTCCATTCTGGGGCCATCTGACTTATTTTTTCCAGAAGGTTGTTTACTTGGAAACATAGTGATTGAATCTGTTTGTCCCATGTTGGCAAAGCTTCACGAGCTGTAAAAAATGAAAAATATGCAGAAGTAGACAGACTTGCAGAACTCAATGTCTATTAGCATTTCCAAGCAGGCTACAAAGAAATTGTCTGTAGCACAATTATTTCAAAATGCAATCCCCTCTATGTATGGTAAGTTCAATACTGCACCATGAAGAAGTGAATATAGAATTTCCCACTGAGCACATATAAGAAGACTGACAGGATGAAATAGGATTGTATAAGATTACAAAAAAATGTGCATAATGTGAATCACGTCAGTTCTTTCAAGAAATGGGTTACTGTAAATACCTGACTAGTAGGGGTGTGAGAAACAGGCTGCACTCTATTAGGATTTGGCCTGAATCACGGACAGTGATTCAATTCATTGATTCGGAGCGCTGTCCCAATTAGATTCGTCCGAATCCAAAGATTTGATACCAATATGGAGAATCAACAATTCGGTCACAGACACAGTTTTAAATGTTTTTTCTACTTACCTTGAGGTACCAGGCATGAGCCCTCATTGGTGGGGCAGAAGGAACATCCTACAGGAGCGCAGGGGGGTTTCCCCTGCATGATCGGTAGCGAACCCAGAAGTGGACCAGAAGTACTTTTGGTCCACTTCTGGGTCCACCACCAAGTGTGCAGGGGGGGATTCTGGGTGCCCCCTGCAGACCCAGGAAGCACCAGTTGCCGAGCCAGCAGGCACAGGTCCTCTGCACACTCCCTGGTGGACCTGGAAGTGCTTCTGGTCCACTTCCAGGTCCACTGCTGAGCGTGCTGGGGACCCCACTGTGTTCCCATGGGATGCTCCATCCACCCCACCATCTCAGCATTCACGAGCCGCTTTGGTACCTTGATGAATGTAGAAAAATCATTTAAAGCTGTATCTGGCTGAGTCATCAAATCTTTCTGAATCAATTCGGAGGGTTCCGATTAGATTCATAGAGATGAAACGGTCTCCTGATTCAATTCGGACTTGGAGATTCAGCCACATCTCCGCCAGATTGAATCAGCAACCGAAGCTTTGTACACCCCTACTGACTAGTGCTAGTATTTGCCCTCTGCCAGCTGCACAAGACAAGAACTAACACCTGCTTCTAACAGGTGTTTTTCAACTCATCTAAGACAGTGGGAGCAAACCTTTTAGCAGGCATGCTACAAATGAAGCCCCGGCCCCTCCTGAGTGCCACTCCAACCGGCTTCCCCTGCCCAATCTGCTGCTGTGTTGCCTATCACTACCTTGATCTGCCCTGTGCCCCACAAAGAGGCTGCTTGTGGCACTTGTGCTGCAGGTTGGCAACCCCTGATGCAGGAGACCCTCATTTTGAAGTACAAATGTTCATCTTGTAAAATACAACTCAACCGATTAATTTTGACCTGCATTAGAAAAAT